TAAAACAGGTCTTAGTTTTATGTGCAATTACACTGGAATCACCAAAGTCAAAGCATTCCAAATAGGTAAAATCAAATACAGCTGAATCTTCCTACCCTGGCTTGCTGAAATCCTTTGGAAGATTTTGTGGATAATGATTCTAAACTCATCTAAAATGTTTATCCTAGGCTCCAAAGCTTGCATTTAAGCCCAAAGTAGAGTCAAGTTCACTGCCTACTGTGAAAGGATTAAGGGATAATGTCATTTCCATTGCTCCCTCCTTGTTCTTGGCTACAAAAAGCAGAAAAATATACACATTTATCCTGAAGTTTCATGATTAAGAAGCACTGCAGCTGGTGGATATTACTAATGAAAACATGCATTTACTTTGGAATCTAGGTATTGAATACAAGGCTTTCTAGTCCAGTGGTTCTCAGAGTGTGGTTCCTGGGCAGTAACATTACTTGGGAACTTCCTGGAAATTCAAATTCTTAGGCCCCACAGCCAATGCATTGAATTGGTAATTCTGGGGGTGGGGCCCAGAATTCCATGTTTTATAAACCGTCTTGGTGATTTTCATGCATACTAAAGTCTGAGAACCACTTTCTTTGGAAGAACAACTAAACCACACCAATCAAAGGAGAATCTACTTCTGAGAAGGGAAGAGAAAGATGTGCCTCCTTAAGAACACATTTCAGAGTATTAGAGTTCTCCCTAGAACTCTCATGTAGCATAAACTTACTTCTCATGTAGCATAAACTCATTTCTTCTTCTGCAGAGGGGATATAGGACTTTCTGTTACTATGAGCAAATATACAACTTTTCCTGGGACCATTAGACATCAAGTACTCTTCTATTTTCTCCTTGGGCTAAATAATCCTAGTTCCTTTCACCTTTATTTATAACCACTTATCACTTAAAACTCTTCATCATCCTTCTCAAACTCCAGAAAAAAGTAAAACCTCATTTTACCATTCAGGTGGATTAAAACACATTTTCTGTCATTGAACCATAGAAAATAATGCCACAAAACCTAGGTTTCTATTCTACCTACATTTTAAAGTAGAAGATGTACTTCTAAAAAAGAAATCAAATTTTAGGTCCATCATTTCAAGATATTCTGATGCCTCCCCCTCACTCTATTCTTTCTAAAAAAAAAAAAAAAAAAAAAAAAAAGTTTTAGTTCATTGTAAGGTCACTAAGTATTTCACATATATTACATTAAACATTCTGATCCTCATTTGCCCTATTAAATAAGAATTGACCAGATGGATATTCCTCTGACTCCCTCTCTGAGCAGGTTTTAGTTAATTAAAAATGATTATTTTTACTACGTATTTTATATATTGGCCAGATGTTACCTGTGGTCATTTCTGGAAAGGATCATTTGGTGGTGGTTATAAAATATATATTTTCCTTTGGGAAGCAAGCCTCTTGAGCACGATCAGGAAAACAAATGTAGAAATTGATTTCACCTCATACCTTTTTCTTAGTGCCAAAATGGGCATAATGTTTCATTTCCTTTGAAAGTATGATCTATGCAAATTCTTTCTTCTATCTCCACTCTGGCCCTATTTATGTTGGGTCAAAAAATTATCAGGTTAGTAGAAGAAAAATTAATATTGGTTTCTGTCTGTACTGGAAGTGTAAGTTATTTTTTCCAAAGAAACTGATTTGGTTTCTATAGATTTGGTTTATGTAAGACATCTATATATGGCATAGCAAACTGTTCTGCTCCATCAGGACAGAGACTGTTAGATCTCTGTGTATAGAAGATGGGACTTTCAGATAGTATTTCCAACAGTTCTGGATTTTCTACAGGTCTCCTTAGAAGCTATTTTTCATGCAAACTCATTTGCCTAAATTTCCCGTTAGTGCTGAAATAATCTAGAATGAGGCAGAGATACTGTAATTATGAGATTGTTTTGTGATTGCACTAGTCATTTTCTCCCCATTTGTAGACAAACCAGAATCAAAACAAGCCCCTCTCTTTTTTGTCCTTAAAAAATAATAATAAACACAATAAAGCAACATTCAACTGTTTGTTTTTTTTTTCAACTTTCTTTTTTAGAAAAAATTTCAGTGCTTGAGGTCACCCAAAGTTCAGAAAGCCTACTGGATGAAATTTACCACACCATCATTTGGGCTAAATGTAGATGGCTGGTCTTCTCAAAAACACCATTTAGAAGATTATTAAGAGTCAAAAGTGAGTCTTTTTAAAGTCTGAATTTCACACACTGACAAAATATGTTAGGTGTGGCAGGGTGTATAAACAAGAAAGAAACTTTCAATTCCAATGCCCTGGCTATGTTTTATAAAATATTTCATGGCACAATATGGACCTAAGGGGGCACCTGGGGGCTCAGTCAGTTGAGTGTCTGACTCTTGATTTCAGCTCCTATCAAGATCCAAGGGTCATGGGATCCAGCCCGCCCTGGGCATGGACTTTCTTTCTCTCCCTCTCTCTCTCTCTCTTTCTCTTTCTTTCTCTCTCTCTCTCTCTCTCTCTCTCTCTCTCTCTCTCTCTCTCCCCCTCTGCTCCTCTCTACAACTTACAAGTTCTCTCTCTCAAAAAAAAAAAAAAAAGAATAAGAACTGAAATAAATAACAACAATATGGACTGAAGGTCTAGTCTCAGCTCTGACTTTCTACATGGTCTTACTTAATAAGTGACTCCCCCACATTGTTTCTTTTCTTACATAAAAAATGACAGAAATACATATTCTCTAAAGTCTCTTGAAGCCAATAGATTATATGATTCGTTGTTTAAAAAGTAACTTTAAGGCCTAATATGGTTTACTGAACAACTGGGACAATTAGGGTGGGGGGTGTTTTATTAACTTAGAGGCTTTAAACACAAGACCTGGCCCTCACTTCCTGATTGTTACAAAGCATCTGCTACCTATGTTCTGAAGTACACAAATCTGCTCGTAGTAAATCACAGTCACCTCGAAAATGACCTCTTCCTCTTATGTTTTCATAGCAATCAACATTTACTAGGGTCTTCGCATTAAAGTCATCTGTGTTACATTTGATTTCAAGAGCCAGGTAAGGGGCAGACATTCCTGATGAAGAGTCTGATAGTCCTTGGAATAAATTGTCCCCCAAAATATTAGATTATGAACCTTTAGATCAGGCCATGCTCATCAGCCTCTAATAGGTTTGAGGGACTCACAGTCTTAATTTCCTATGTGAATCTATAATTGTCCGCAGGGGTCAATTTCAGTGGACGCCTCATATAAATTACAATTGAAGATAATGATGCCTGTTCACTTGATCAACTAAAATGACCAGCTGGGTTTAATGGGAGGAAAACAGAAACCCCCGTGAAATTGGAATAGCTTCAAAGGTGATAGAATGTAATTATTTTTCTGCAAAGTTTCTTCTCTAAAGGTGACTGGCCATTGTGCTGTGGGCACCTGGGCTGGTATGTTATGAAGGTGGATATGGTATTCAGAGCAACCAACTGTATCCAAAGGCGTAAGTTAAGAGTTAGCTTTCTGCTAAGACAAGGGGGAAAGCGATTTCTTCTCCGTTCTTATTTTAGTCATTTCATTTACAGTTGGAGAGGTGCCGTGGGGACTTGCCTAATTGATTCCCGAGAGGCAAATTCTAATTTAGATTGCTCCAAAAGTGTTTTCTCTTTATAGCCATAAAACATTTTCTAGAATTTGTTGTAATTACCCTCAGGGTAATATAATTTTAGGTCTGAAAGAACCTTGATGTCACCTGCCCAACCCCTTTCTTTTATAGATGAAGAAGCTGAGGTCCAGAGATGTGAACTGACTGAACCAAGGTCATAGAGCTAGAAAGAGGAAGAGGCTGGCTAGAATTCAGCAATGGGATGAAACCAAGACGGATGCCCAGTGTGGGGTTTCCCACTTACGAGTAGCTGGAGACTCGTTCAGGGAGGATAAAAGATTCTCTCTATGAAAATCCCCATTTAAGAAGACTTAGGCACTATAATTCGGTAGAGGTGCCAGCAAGCAAAAATGGCAGAGATGGAAACCTGGAAGAGACAAAGAGCAAAGGACCGAGTAGACCACAAGGTAGATAACCATCCCCAGAGTGGACAGTGAGCTCTGTGTGTGCTGAGGGACAGCGATACATGGCGTGACTGCACAGACTCAGGAGCCAGACTGTCTGTCCGGGCTTGATTCCTGACTCTGCTCATTTTGAGCTCTGTGATCTCTGACAAGTTGCTTAAGCTCTCTGTGCCTCAGTCCCTCATCTGTATAAAAGGATGATAATATCAGTTCTGTTTTAGGGATTAAATAAGGATTAAATACATTGATCTATGTAAAGAGCTTAGCACATATTAAATGCTACGTTAGTGTTTGCTGCTTTTTCTCCAATCACGATGCCAGAAAATCTTAAAAGTTTCAGAATATATACATAAGTTGTACTCACTAATAATGTTACTAAGGTGCTTTATGATATAAATATACAAAGGCTCTACTAGAGACATTCACAAAGTCATTGATAAAACCTTTTTGTATGTTTAACGGATTACTTGTTCAGTATGTACTATTAGAATTTATAGTTCCTTTCCAAAACAATAAACTACAGAGATTTTTTAAAAAGGCAATAGCCATAATGTCATATAACAATGACAGACGTTTCGTTAGCAAAACAATTAATAAAACAGCATATCTGTTGTAAAAATTAAAGACAGATTTTCATGGCAGGAAATTAGTGTCAAGTCAGTGATTCCTGGAGTCATTAGAGTACGGCTGGCAGCTCTGGAATGCTCCATTTTCTTTCGCTAAAGCACATTTCTTGGGCAGTTTAGCATTTTTTTTTTCCCCTTAGAATTTAATGTCATCAAAGTTGTCATTAATATTTTACTTAGAATTTTTTAAGAGGAAATCTTCACAAAATTAACAATGCAGATCATTAAGTAATTAGAGCCATTTCAGATGTGCCTGAAAAGAATACCACGTATGGATTAGTTGTTTTTTCCTTTTATTTTTTGAATTAAATTCAGTGAAAGCTTGAAGGGAAAAAAAAAAAACCATCAGTTACCTATTCGTTCCCTCATATTTTAACTAAATAATTTTAGCAGTTATGTAGAAAAACACATTTTAAACATCGTTGTAAAGAACTTTTCTGGAATCGGTCTGATTTAGGACATAGGAAGATCGTGATAGGCTGCATATCTTCCAGTCACATGATGGTAAATCTGTGAGGAAAATCAGAATTCAGTTAATTAATAATGATTATATAGCATATATATCAGTTAATATTTACACTTTTAAATAATAATTAATAATTTAATTGATGTTTCATTATAAAGCCCTATATTATCATGCACTTCAGCAGACTCTGCAGTCAGCCTACTTCAGGTGGAGTTTTGCTTGGAAGAAAACAGAACTTTGGGTACGATGAGGTAAATCCGATGAATTCTTATCTCTAGTTCTCATACCCCAGTAGGGGTTATTCATTTCTTTCTCAAAAACACACTTGCCAATTTGTGCCAAGGACAACGGATTATTACTCACCTGCCTCTCGATGTCAGAAAGCAGAGTACTGGCACCTATTCGAAAGAGTTCTGGCGTCAGCCATTCGTCTCCTAGCTCTTCTTTTATGAGAGAGAGCCAGGCAAGGGAATCCTTTGCACTGCGGATGCCTCCTGCTGGTTTAAAGCCGATCTAAAAGGGAAGGTGGGAAAGAGAACAATGTTTGTTCCTGGAGTACTTTAAAAACTGGTACTGCATTAATACAAGGTCTCGATTCTCTTTCTCTCTTTCTCTCCTTCTCTTTTTTAAAGTCTATTTCACTTTACCCAGCAAAAGAGCTTAGATCACTGGCTCACGCCCATTCACAGTACAAAATGACTTCTCTAAGATTAATGGAAAGAATGTCACTGCTTCTGAGGAGACACTAATGAGCGTTAATAACCCTCATTAACATTGCACTTATTGGAAAGTCATAAACCTCAACCATCTAAACTATAGCTGTGAACTGGGGATAAACAAGAGAGGTGTTAATAAACAAGGAAAACAGATATCACAAAAGCCCATTCATTCTGCATTTCTACCAGTGAGCCTGGCTAGTCACCTTTCAGCCTTTCATCCTGAGGTGCAAAAGACACACACATGTATTCAAAATAAGAAGAGGGAATCAGTGAGGCCACACTAACCAAACTGGCAGCATTCAGGAAGGGGTGTTGACAGTTGTTTTCATCAATGTAACTGCAGGGACTTTCTTCTAAGTTGTAAGTAGAAAGAGTTATATAAAGCAGCCAGACCACTTAAATAAGTGCAGCAGAAAAAGACAGTGTAGCAACTCTTCACAGTTCAGTAGTCTTTGAAGGTGAACATAAAACAGCACAAGTCAGCCAGTATCTGATGTTTACAAATGATGTCCCCAAATCCATTAGAAATGGATAAATGTGTTCTATAAACAGTAAAACCTGCTTATCTGGATTTACTGGTCTCCAGAACTTGAATCCAGTAGTGTAGAGTATCTATAGATGGGAACAATCAAGAAAACACTCTATAGCCAAGTACTAAAGCTCAGGCATTTAAACACTAAGAGCTGTTGATTCGATAGGTAGCACCAACACGGGGTTAACTGCTAAAAGAATGCTAGAGAAGGGAGATGATAAATGCAAGGTCCCATAATTTACCCAAACTAGAAGCCTCAGAGTTAACCTAGACTCCGCCATTTTCCTCACCACACCAAACCCAATCAATCAATGGTCAAGTCCTATGAATCTTCTCTCCTTAACTTCCATATCTACCACACACACTTCCTCTCTGTTTTCACTTCTGCCGTATTAGTTTAGACCCTCATTCATTCTCATATGGAATATCGGTCGGTCTCCTTACTGGTTTCCCTGCCTCAGGCACACATGGCCACATGACTAAGCAGCAGCTATACACTGACCCTAACCGTATCTGTCTATTCCTCTGGAGCCCAACTGGCTCTGAAAGAGTGCAGGGACATGAGGCGAGAGGGGGAGATAAATAGGATGAGATTATTTCTTGAGAAGAAGCCCCCAAAATCAATTAGCTTATATTAGCATACATGTTAATCATAGGAGCATTTTTGTCAATTAGGCAGTGCTGCATATAGATTTTTCCATATAGTTCAGTTGTGTCAGCAAGTCTGTTTGGCAATGTTTCTAAAGAGAGGTTCTAGCATAAGTTTATCCTTTTTTTTTAAGGGAGAGAATATGGAAAACATAAATCTGCAATGAAATCAGTTATGAAATATTAAACCTCTGCTGCTCAGAGTGACACTAATCATGGTCTGGAAGACGGCCCATCACATTTTAAAACTCCCCTTAAATCAATGATGTAGAAAGTTTACAGTCTAACGGCTGCCCAGGCAACTTGTCAACAACCTGAAAGGATGCACCTGATTTGTAGACAGAGACACAGATCCTCACCGTGTGAAATCAAACGTGATTATAATGACTCTGATTTGACTTGTATCGGCCCACTGTTGATAAAACTGGGGTGAACTTTGGTTGTTAGCTGAGGAAAGGGTCAATACAAGTAAAAGGAAAGTACTGGAAGACAGTGAAGAGTCCCTTCTACTGTACACTGACCTAGGATATTGAGCACTTAAAACTTTTACTGAAATCCTTTGCTTGTTGTCTAAGAGATCTCCTGGGAAGGGACTTGTTCATTTTGTATCCCTGTTAACATAGGTTAACATGGCACATAGTTAACCACTCAATCAATGTTTGTTGAGAACACAACAGGATTGGGTCTCTAATGGTGAGTTTTAATCCTGACTCTGGAGTTTATGAGACACACAGATGCCTGAGGATTACTCCTGATCCAGAAGTGCTAGAGATGAGGGCCCAGGCATCGAACATCTTATTTTGTTGTACTTTGGCACAAAATAGGAACTACTGGTCTAAATGAATAGTAGTGGTCTCAGGTGGGAGGACCAAAGAGAGAGTTCTCTTTTTTAGAGCTAAACATTTTTTTTTTTTTTAATTTGGATCAATGCAGAAAGGCTACCAAGTACAGGTTACTCAAAGTGAGTCAACTATCATAAGTAAGGTCACAGTAGACAGCATTCCTATACTTTTTTAAGATATGAAGTTATTCTGAAGGAGAAAATTCTGGAAGAAGTTCATTTCCTCTGAAACCCAGAACATTCTGAAAAGGGGCTCCAGTTCCAAAATGAACTGAAGGTACAGTGACATATACAGTCATCACATCCAGTTGGCACAGGATTAAAGGTCTTTTTTGGGGGGGGTTTCCATTCAGCAGTAATCCAGAGATCAGCTTTTAAAGATGTCTTCTGAGGAAGGGACAGTCTCATTACAAAACAAAACAAAAGAAAACAAAACAACCTTTCTCTCCAGTGATATTAAAAAAAAAAAAAATCCTTTGAGATAATTTGCAGCTAAACAAGCAACTTGAAGCTAAAAGGAAAATCCAAACTCATTTTAAAAAAACACCTCATATGCATTTTTCTTTTTAACTTCCTATGTTTCAAAAAAATATGTATTATTTTTCGAAAAGCTGACAAAAGCTAGCACATACCCTCCTCAGCTTAACAGTCTTCCAAAGAGCACATCCAACTGCCATAAAACGCAAAAATGGATATTTAATTCAAGAGCTATATAACGTCTAGCTACCTTTTCCCTGCTGTTTCACAGCATTTCATTATTTTGTTTAATAAGTTCATCTCCTCGAGAATTTTCTCTTCACCTCATATTATTAAAAGTAATAAGTTTTTCTGGACCGGGGGTTTCCCAACAGAAAAACCAATTTATGTGTGTCCTTCAATAATGACAGGAAAAGATTATTTCCCATTATATTGCATACTTTTCATATCACCACCACAGCTTATCATTCAATAAATGTTACTCTGCAATTCTTTCCATTCCTCAAGGAAGTTTAATTTCTGCATTAACCTGTTTTCGCTGGCCAACGCCTTACCAGAAAGCCTCTGTGTTGCAGCAGAATTAGTTCGTTAAAGAACCCATTTAGGAATCTCTTGTCAGTGATAAAATTGTCTTCAGTTAATAAAAGGACATAAAGTGAGTTTACATCTTGATCACACATACTTACTCCCACACTCACACTCACTTTCTGCTAATCGCACATTTTTCTCCATGAATGTGTTCTTTTGTAATGAAAGGTAAATTAAACATTTATCTTAATAAAGGTAACTCATTCACACCTTCTGCATATAAAGACAGTTTTTGTGGCTGTAACTAGTATTATAAATAACATTATCTTTACTCCGAAGAAAGATTTGCTGGCAATAATATACCTTGTTTCCAGTTTTCCAGAAGAAATCTCTAATGGCCCGTAGCATTACTATAGCTACCGGGAAAGTGGCATTTACTGCTTCTTTTCCAGTAGAGGTCTTAATAAAATCTGATCCTAAAACAAAAGGAAAAAAAAAAAAACCTCCATGTTAATTAAAATTTTATTTTTTACACATCTTAGTCAGCGGAAGAAATGAGTTGTGTAAATTTTTTTCCTGAGGAACACAACTTTATTTTTCATTAGCTATCTGAAAAATTAAAAAGAAAATCCCTCTTTAAAATAATTCTATCCATACTTTCCACCCTTCCCCCCCTTACTAGAAGATGCATAGAATTATGTACCGAATGCATTCTGATTCCTAGGGCCCTTGCCTCCATCTTTCCATATCATCAATTAAAATCAAGTTGGTTTATTTAATGCATAACTAAGATGAATAAAAACAATTTTATGCCCTGTGCTTAATATCATTCATCACAACACTTTACTACAAAACTGCAGTGCCCACTCATTTTCCCCTCATTTTCTTATGCTCGACAGAAAGTACTCAGTACGGCTCTGACCACGCAAGAAGAATCACCACTAGCTTATTTGTACCGCGCTGTTCAGTAATGAAAGCTGTGTATCTTCCAACGAGATTAGGAATTTCACGAAAGACATCAACTATTTCATAACCTACAAATACTTTAAACAACTTTCTGTCTCTCAAATGCATCCTAAACCTATTGATGTAGTTTAACAGAATAGCACAGGAGACAAAGAAATGATAATAACAGTTAAGATTCGCTGTGTGTTATGCACTATTCTTTATTCTAGGTGCTTTACAAGTAATAACTCAGTCATTCCTCACCACACCTGCATAAGTTAAGTACTAATATGATCCCCATTTTAAAGGACAAAATTGAGATACAGAAAGGTTAAAATGGGGCTCCTGGGTGGCTTAGTTGGTTGAGCATCTGACTTCGGCTCAGGTCAAGATCTTAAGGTTCATGAATTCAAGCCCCATGTCGGGCTCTGTGTTGACAGCTCAGAACCTACAGCCTGCTTCAGATTCTGTGTCTCCCTCCCTCCCTGCCCCATCCCTTCTCGTGCTCTGTCTCTGTCTCTCAAAAAATAAAACGTTGAAAAACAATTTTTTTTAAAAAAAAGAAGAAGAAATGTTAAATAACCTGCTTGGGGTTACACAGTTAGTAAGGGGATGGGGTAGAATTCTAACCAAAAAAACACAGCTTAACCAATATTATAGTGTCTCCAAGAAACTTACCTAGGGTCACAAAGTCAGGTAGCCAAATAGGGATTCCATCTTTAATGTGATTATCTAACCTTGAAATACTCAACATGCCCACAGACCAGCAGCATGGGTACCATGGGGGTGCTTGCTAAAAATGCAGACTCTCAGATCCTCTACTAGATCAACTGAATCAGAATCTGAATATAAACAAGGTTCCTAGGGGATTCCTGTGCAAATTCATGGCTCTAGCCCACTGAGTCTGAGGGACCACAGGTAAGGCTAATGTCTGGGATTCTCCCAAGGTGCATCAAAGAAGTGGTCAATGGAAATGTTGGAAAGAAATGTTTAAAACTTTCCCCTTTAGTTTCAAATGGAAAGATACTTCCACAACTATTCTGTGGATGGAAAGGTTCAAATTGACACACCTTTGTAAACACACTGTGTGTGCGGCACAGTGGAAAATATAGCAACAAATAATTCAAGCCCTTGCCCTCAAAAGCATACATTCTAGGTGCAGGTGGAAATGAAACATAGATCCTGGGTAATTACTTGATAGGCTAGAAGTCAGAAGACCTGGTTTTACCTCCTGAACCATCTTGCCTATAAAATACGCCTGAAAATTCTTACTTGCTTCACAGTGTTCGTTATACAAGGAATTAAAAGAGACAATCTATATGAAAGCACTTTGAAAACTCTCAAGCATTATACAAATATAAATGAATCAAAGACTTAGGTAGGATTTCAATGTGTAAAAATGTGATAGAAATTTTGATTTATGAAAGCAGGTCATCAGAAGCCTTTTTTTTCCTGTGGGTCTACAGACCCACTGGAAGAAATGGAGATATATTTGTCATGCATGCATTTATCTAACGAATATTCACTAAGCGCTTACTATGTGCCAGACTCTGTTCTAGATGCGGAAGATAGACCACAAAACAAAACAATAAATTTCCTACCCTTGTAAGCAGATTTTCTAGAGGAGAAAGACAATAAACAAATGAATATATAACAAATGTCAGTGGAGGTAAGTGCTATGAAGAAAAAAGCAATGTAATGAGGCAGAGAGTGATGGAGTTGGGGAGAGGTAGCCATATTTAAATAGAGTTATCATAAAGGCATCGCTCAGGAGTGATATTCAAATACAGACTGAATGAAAGGTATCACTGAAAAGAACATCACAAGCAGGGAAACAGCAAGTGCAAAGAAAGGCCCTTAGGTAGGCATGAGCTGAGTTGATTAATAAATGAACAAATGAATAGGACTACAGAACCAACGTGTGGTCACTACCACACCAGAAAAAAGACAATCAAGGAGAAGAGATTAAAGACTCCAAAAAATAGATCTAAGAGGTGAGGGGAACATCCCCAAAGAATTCACAATGAGACCAAGACCAAGATGTGATTTCCTAAAGTGTGACATTGTCTTCTGATTCACTAGAAAGCTTTTGGGTACAACACTGGGTATCATGTAAATTCTTTCAAGCGTCTTAAAAGATTATTAAGATAAAAGTCCAAGGCCACATTTGGAGGCCTAAAAAAAGCTATGGTCACTTAAAAATCACACAATTTAAAGTTAACCAAAAAAGCCAAACTCCTTTGAAAGAGTCTGGAGGTAGGATAAGGGAGAAGACTCTCCTCCTAACATATTTGGGAGGAGCAGAGCAGAATACCTATCATGATAGCAACAAAAGTCCAGGAGTAGTAACAGTGGCCTACACATAGTGTCTGTCTCTCGTTCTTGGTTGTACGTTAAGCACATTTGAGGGCAGGTGCTATATCTTTCTATGCACTCTGTATCCCCAGAGAATGACACACAAGCAAGGCTCAATAAATGAATTTTGGATGGATGGATAGATGGAAGGAAGGAAGGAAGGAAGGAAGGAAGGAAGGAAGGAAGGAAGGAAGGAAGGATAGAGGGATGGAGGGATGGATGGAAGGATGGATGGATGGATGGATGGATGGATGGATCAAGTGGTAAATAGAAGGCCACAGCTACCAAGAAAAAGCAATCTACAATATTTCCTACCTTTAACTGACTAATGGGAAAGGAAAGACAGTTTTGAGTTTCATCCCAGTTCAGGTAACAAAACTGGACAGGTGACTCAGAAGAATACATTATTTTATTTATTTTTAAATGAATTTTAAATTTTAGAACAGATCTAAATCTACAGAAACATTGTAAAGCTAGTATAGAGAATCCCCATAAACCCTACACCCAGTTTCCCCTATTATTAAAAACTTTTATCCATATGGTACATTTGTTACAATTAATGAAGCAATATAGACATATTGCTATTAACCCAAATCCCTATTTTATTTAGATTTCCTTAGTTTTACTTAGAATCCAATTGCACCCAGGATAGTATGATGTGTACATCTGTCATATCTCCATGGTTTCCTCATGGCTGTGACAGTTTCTTGGACTTGCCTTGTTTTGATGACTGTTAACAGTTTTGAGGAGTACTGGTCAGGTATTTTGTAAAATGTCCCCCATTTGGGACTTGTCTGACATATCTCTCATTTTGATTAAACTGGGGTGATGGGTTTTTGGGGAGGAAGACCACAGAGGTAAAGTGCCATTCTCACAGTATCACATCAAGCGTACCTACCATTGACATGATTTACCACTGTTGATGTCGACTGCAAACACTTGGGAGGTAGGATTTGCCACTTTTGTCCGCTGCAAAGTCACTCTCTTTTCTCTACTTTCCATACTGTACCCCTTGGAAAGAAGCCCTTATGTGAATCCCACACTTGCATGGGAGACTTGTCTGCTCCCATGTACATATTTATGATCATTTCTAGCAGTACAGACTCGGAGATATTATACTTGGGTTTATAATCCAGTTCATTATTTTCTTGCTCAAATGGTTCTACCTTTGGCCACTGGGAGCTCTTTCAGTTGCTTCCTATATACCTTTGACACACCTCCACCATGGAGCATTTTTATTTTTTAAGCACTTACTCTGGTATTGCCAAATGCTCCAGGCTCATCTTTTATGTTTTCTGCCCCAGTCTGAGAATAAGCCCTAGTTACTTTTATTAGAGAATGGTATTAGACCCCAAATCTTGGTGCTAGGCATACTCACTGTTACTGCAGGGGCTTGTTTCTGGCTCTCTCAGCTGCCTAGCAAAGAAATATACATGTGTATACTAACCCACTTATATATACACATCTATTAATAATTCCATGTTTAACTATATTACACTAAATATGCATAATACTGAGGTCTCCAACTCAGACTCATCACCACATGGATCATTCTAGCCCCTTCCCCCTCTGGAAACTGCCATTTCAACAGTGAGGAACCTGGCACCTACCATCTGTCATTCATTTATTTAACCGCGCACATCCAGTATCCATGTGGAGCACTATCAGAATTGTTACCCACACCATGGGAAATAACTTTATCAACTACTCCACGGTGCTAATGTGCAGTTTCATTTGCCTTTAGCCTTACAGCCCACCCTCATTTATAGTGTTATGTGGGTCAGCACCTTTCTTCCCACCTCCTTTAGTAAGGCTGTTTCATACATGTGTAACATAGTCAGATTCTTTGCTCAGAGCCAGCATTCTATCCTGGAATCCTCTAATCTCCTAAATTATATATATATATATTTTTATCTGTATACATTAAGGGTCACATTTTGTGAAGCTTCTAGTGGTTCTGACAAACGTGCAGGGTCATGCATCAACCATTACAGTATCACACACAACACATTCACAACTCTGCTTCACATTTTCATCTTCCCCCACACGCACTGGCAACCACTGATCATAAACTATTGGAACAGTTTTGCCTTTTCCAGAATGTCATGTATTGGAATCATCCAGCCTTTCAGACTGGCTTTTTCACTTAGCAATATGCATTAATAAAATGTTTTAA